GATTATTTTATTGCTATGTTAATTGACTTGTGATGATCATAAATAATGCCTAAACTAGGGATAGAAATAGATCAAACTGTTCAACAGAGCCTACAATTTAACTTTTTTAAGGTTTAGCTCAGCTTGACCTATTTAATTAATAGACTTAATTTAAGTTTGTCATTTTAGAATGGCTTATAAAAAATTCATAAGATTTATAATAATATATTAAATATTTTTACATCAAAATTATAATATAATAGCATATTAAATAAATTAAATATTAAATTATAAACCCTAATCTTTTTCGTTAGAGTTGAAGAATGTCCCTACTATATACTTTCTAAGAGAAAAAGTCCTACTTGTGAGAGTATTCTACGTTACTGTTGTTTGATTTGTGCATAACGCTGATTTGCATTTGTGTTATATCGATTACATATTTTGATGAAATCGAAATATGTAATTTTACTATGCATATTCAAGGTGGTGAACTATTTTTTTATAGCTTATTTAGATATAAGCCTTATGACCTTTATAAAGACATACCTATTTAAATAGTTTAATAGACTATTCATAAATAAGCTTAATGACCTATTAAATATCTCAATACGAAGTAGACTATTAAAAAGACTAATAGGTCAATGTAGACTTTTAAAAAGGTTACGCTAGACTTAATAAAAAACTTATGATAAATAATAGGTCAGACTTAGACTTTAAAATTATTAAATAGGTCATACCTTTTTACAAAATCCTAACTCTAGTGCAATTGTGCAGGCCATTGTACTTCCTGATTTTCTAATAGTACTTATTCTTCCTTAAATTAGCTTGAACAAGTCATTCACAATCTATGATGTAACTATAGGTAATGCATTTACAATAAAATGTACTTAGTTCTAACTTAAACACTTTATAATATACTTTTTTTTTGATAAATTGTAATGTATAATAATTTCTTTATCATTAAATTGCATTCCAACATACAATTCTCCATCTACACTAGATTATGAAACAAGAAGATAAAAAATAAAAAATAAAACAATCTTAACATATTGAAGTTTGCATACTTTAGATACCTGGGATGTGTGCTTAGCTTCAACGTCTAAAACACACATAAATGATGACTTCCCAAATGCATGTGCACTTCCCCTTAGTTTGAAAAATGGAATTGGTCATCATCTATATTTTCTAGATCATAATTTGCACTATCGTTACAACTTAAATATTATGATCTTCCTCCTCCTTATCACCTTGCTCATAAACACCAAAAGAAACTTCTTTAAAATTAACATACACTTCAATGTCAAGAGTTGGAGGATGTTGCTTTTGTTGATAGATCCAAAACATTTGTATAAAATCTTTATCATTATTTATTGTAATTGCATGAAATTGTCAAAAATTAATATTGGACACTTATATGTCATTCTCTCCATTGTCTTTGAATTCCAAACTTTAATATATTGACAAAACACACACTCTAGTTTTTAAAAGAATATTTAAAATAAAATATATAAATTGTTGACCTTCACATCTAAATATTACATATTTACTTGTGTTTATAAAAATATCACTATGGCAATACTATTATATTTTCACTATTTTTTTTCAAAAGTCAACTAAAATTAAAAAAAAAATCTATTTTATATGGATTATTAGAACAAAGAGGAAGTGAATTTATTCATCGACGATTCAAAAATCATATGATTTTTGAAGAAATAAAAAATAATTTTTAGACAATAAAACTCGTGAATGAAAATTTTTTATTGACACTCAATTTTCTAAATCTAAAAATCATAATGACAATTTTTAAAATTTTAACTATTTTTTAGCGGTAAAAAAATTTCAATGGCATTCTTAAGTAAATCTCATATTCTCGTAATTCACCCAAAATAGCCATATTTAATAACTATAGTAAAATTTTGCCATATAAAAAAAAGAGCCCTTTTTTTTTCTATTATAGTTCTAACGTAAAAAAGTAGAATTTATAATATAATCAGCAGCGTTATTAGTGTCCTAGTAGAGGGGTATACTATTTCGACTTCCATTTGCTATCGTATTCACCCTTTGAATAACCACCAAATCAATCAAACTGTTGCACCAATGAGATGAGTGGACCAACATCAAATATATTAGACACATCACCCAACTCATATACTCCATCCAATAAGCTATCCAAGAAGGTGCAGGAAGTCATGTGTGACATAGGAAAATAGCAACTTCAAGTAGTGAATAAAATATATTAAGAAAAATACGAAAGTCAGAATAAGGTATGTTGGATCCATGTATAAGCTAAGGAGAGTAGTCTGGAATCTAAGCATATGTTTAGTTTTATGGCAATTTTCTCTGTACATGCGTTCTCTACACATATATTCCTCTTTGTTGTGTTGATTTGGATCCACATTTAAACAAATTAAAGTAACGAATATCTAAATACACACTAATTCATATAAAAACTACTTTTAAAAAAATTCCTAACATGTATATTGATATCTAAACGGACGTTTAAATATATAAACTCATGTTTCACTAAAAGAAAACAATAACCGATCACACACTAAGTGATGAACTTGTAAGTTTAGAGTTCTGAATTATTCGATCTAACTCAACCTCATCTGATGCTAATAATGAGTTTACTAGGTCGATCTGTGTTATTATATATAATTAATAATATTATTATTATTAGTAGTAGTTTATATGATCGGTTCACGCTGAATTTGTTTTTTTTTTTTTATGTAGATTTAATTAAATTAGACTAAAAATGTTTTAACTTTTTTTTTTCGTCTTTAGCTTATGTTTTGAGATACTTCAGTCAAGTCGACACATTTTATCGGCTCCGGGAGCAAGCATGTAGGCATATTTATTTGCTTGTGCTCAAAATCTACTTTTTTCTCAAAGGTGAAGTGGTCTTCTCAAATTATTAATTATTTGTTTTCCTTCACTTTTTAATCCATGTAAATAATTATACGAAATTAGTTTTGATTTGTTTTACTAATTCCACCGATCCAATTAACATATTTTTTTTACTTTTATTTTACTAAATATTTTCTATTTTTCTTTATTTTATTCACCATCCAAATAAACTGCTAATGAAACAATATTCCAGCAACATTGATACTTATGAACTACACGCATTAAAATTTTGAGGTTGATCTTTAAAAAGTCGAAAATAAAATATGTAATTTTTTGTAATTCTCCGACAAATGCGAACTAGGAAACAACTGCATTTCAATCAGACTGCTCTAATTTTGTAATGAAGTTTAGTTATAACCTAACTATTGCAGCATGGTATATGACTTTCAATGTTACATTTCCCACTAATGGAGAAATCAAGATGAAGCAGCTAGCTTTCTTTAGAGGTAAGACTTACAGGTGAGGGGAGATAAAACACATGTAAAACATACATATTTCCCACACGCTTTGAATATTTCTACAAAATCTATCCGAGATGTTATTATATGCCAGAGTGTTGCCACATGCATATATATATCAACTACGCTTCATATATATATGCATTCTGCAGTACATGAGGAGGGGTTTGGATATTCATGAACCCATCATATACATACGTGTAAAAATAATAATACATTCTCATTTCATTGCTTTGTGCCTAAAGTTAAAAACCAAAATTTACAAATGAAAATTTGTTGTTACCGATATATATATATACACACATATATACAAACATTAATATGAGATCAGGGGGACTATGATATAATGTATTTAGAGTATAACAACTTGGTCAGCATCGATCCCAACTTCATATTGTTCTAGTCCTTGCACGCAAATATCGCAGTAGGTGAAGATAATGGTAACTTCTGATGGCCGATAGACGGGAGTTCATAGACTTCAAACTCATATCTCCAGACATGAACTTAATCTTCTGCTTAAAAAAATTCATTATTTATGCATAACTTTCTTAAATAATATATTAAATGTTATAGGCGGAAACATTTCATCAGGTTTCAATTCCTTGATCATTGCCGGTCACGTTCAGGCTTACGTGTGTTCTCAAAATAAGTGGAGAGGACATGAACCAGCTTTTATCACATGTTCATACCAGCCACTTAAACGCTACCCACAGAGAAATCAGTCGATCTTCTTTTGAAATGTTTCACGGTTTGTGCTTGTATATGTGTGTGTGCGCGCACTGGATAACTGTGAACTGCTCTTCAATCCCAGAAAGAGATATCGTATTAATACAATTTTATTGTGCAACAAAGTATATATACAACAAAATAACTTTCTGATGTGATAAGTATAATAGAAAAATAATGTTATTAGGATGTAAAAAATATTTTATGAACAATATACTATAATCAAAGATTAAATTTAGATGCAGATTTTAGGTAATTTTAGTATTATCTTTTAATGAAAGTTAAGAATTAATTACTTTGATATTTTTAAATAACTTTAAATACGAATTTTTTAATTAAATAATACTAATTTTAATTTTAAAAAATAATATTAAAAGAACTGCACCAAAGTTTTGTCCTATAAAGAACTGTATTAGAGATTACCTCAAAAAGAATTGTCAGATTTGCTGAGAAAACAATTATCACTGCGTTCCCGAATGAAAGGTTTCCTACAAAAAGATAGTAAATATTTCCACCGATGTTAAGACCAAATTGTATAGCTGCCAAATCTGTAGTTTATTGACAGTGAATTATTCATTAATGTGATCATCACCTCCGGGATCAACAACATATAAGAAATTATTAACACAAGTACATTTCAGTGGATTCAATCTGTTTGCTGATGATTGAACTATCCATGGATCCACATATAGCCTTTCTCATTTTTAGATTCAAGAATTTGTGATTGGATTGCAAGATAGCAGCAATTAATATTGGTTCCATTGCATGCCATCGTGACAAGCATAAACCAACATCCTAGTTAAAGGGTTGTCATCCTTTAAAATGAAGCACAATCTCAGTCCCTTATTATGTCGTTAAGATGTGAATTATCATTACTTGTTCCTCCATATCACGATGTGATGAATTTCAGCATTTAGGCCAATATATTGATCACTGAAACAGAAGAAGTGTTGAAGGGGAAGCAAAATGCAGTTTCCTTGGTGACGTAGATTCATGAAATAGTTTTAGATTGTTTTCAGAAATACTTGGTGAAGATAAAGGAATGCCTATCGTGAGATCAAGGTTTAAATCTGGCAGGGCAAATGATGACTCAGCCTCGCCACTTGCCGCATCTGAGACTTCACCATAATTGTTAACATGAGGTAACTTACTTGTCTCATTCTTGCATGTGTCTTTCAAGTCTAGAGATTTTGAACAATCAGACGTGGGTGAATTATGAATGGAGGGTATTTTGTGGTTTTTTAATCGATGATTATTTGGGTCAATACCCTTGCTAATGAGCTTTCTTCTTATGTGAGAGTTCCAATAGTTCTTCACTTCATTATCTGTTCGCCCTGGCAATCTCCCAGCTATTAGTGACCACCTGTACCAATTAATATTAAACAATTAAAAAAAAAATTTCTTTCTTTCCACCTTTATAAGCCCAATTTATACAACCAAATAACATTGAATTACGTGAAGAAGCCTGTTTTGGCAATGCACTTTGAGAAAGTAAAAGAAAAACTTTCCGTTTAGATTAAGTGGTGATAATGTTGCAGGGTACACGTATCTACAGAATGATCAAAATTCTTATACCGGAAAAGATGTTTGCACATATTGAGGGAGACATCCTTAGGTCTCTTCCTTGTTTTGGAGGTGGACTTTTTTAGATACATTTAAATAAAAAATAAAAATAAGGTAAATGATAACCCTCGTCTTAAGGATACTGGTTGAATAATAAAAAATAGTTTTATTTGAAAATAATACTAATCCACCTGTTCGAAAATTTTCTATTGTTTGAATGTAATTTATAATAAAAACTTTAAATTTTAGATTCTGAAAAACATTGTTTAACGATACTCTAAAAATAATTATACAACATCACATGTGGTGTCGGTTTTTAATTATCCAAATAATGAAAACTATAAACATACGTGTGTCAAAAGCATAAAAAAAAAAAGAAGAAAAAGAAGAGAGGGGGGGGGGGGGATTTCATGTTTAGTTTATAATTAAATTCGCACCGGTTGCCCAATAGTGCATGAAGCTTGATGATGAGATCTTCTTCATCTTCAGCAAAGTTCCCCCTTTTAAGGTCTGGCCGTAGATAATTTATCCATCTCAGCCTACAACTTTTACCGCACCGAAGTAAACCTAATCATCATCATCAAACCAAGTGTACGTGGTCAGATATATCAACGTGTGTGAGATGTGGCTTGTGTGGATGCACTGAAATCTTAACATTATTACTATTATTTTGACTACTAATTTACTAATTGATGAACGTAGCAAGAGGGTTGATACCTGCAGCCTGAGGAAGTGTGCGCCAACAAACATCGGCGTGTTGGTTGATATAATCAATGAGTTTTTGGTCTTCTTGCTTGGACCAAGCTCCTTTGTTCAAGTCTTTGATATCAGAGCTAGGGTTCCTCATTCTTTCTACGTTACTTGAAAGAGTAAAGGGAAGCTACAAATGGAAGAGCCGAGGAGGGACGATAAGGGGAAGTAGTAGAGAGAGAGAGATGAAGGATGCCAAAGATGAATGAGAAGATAAAAGGAGGGAATATATACTAGGTTGGTTGGTTGGTTGGTTGGTTGGTTGGATATATGCAAGTGAAAGTAGTTGACTTCATTGGACCGGTGGTTTTGCTGATACGTGACTTCGTGGTTCATGCGTGATTCGCAACACACCTTCATAGAGAGAGAGAGAGAGAGAGAGAGAGCAATATTATGACAAATTGAGGTAACAATTGGTTGTGCGTTTTATCCTTCCTCGCCAATTTGAGAGGATGACATACGGTTGGTTTAAATGTGGGTGGATGTGAGGTTGACTATTTCAATCTAACTCACCCTCACATTTCATCTCCATACCATCTGGGTGAATGCTCAGTTCCCCTAGTTGCTGCAAAAAGTGAAAAAATAAATATAATTTTTTTTAATTGTTAGGCTATGATTATGAAAAAGAAACATATTAAATTGAAATTCTTTTTATTTTTATTTTTGTAGAAGTTACTTTTAATAGCATTTAAAAAAAACGAAAATTTAAATACCCATTGAAAAAGTAATTTAATGATTATATAAAAAATAGTTTTATTGTTGTATTTACTTTTCATGTTGGGTAAAAATGTAAAAAAAAAGTATCTTCTAATTTTTGTGAACTCTAATAAATCTTTCACAATTTTAATAAAATAAAAAAAGCATCGTTTGAAATTTGCAATTTTTATATATACATAGTGTAAGTTGGCGGTGTGTCACACGTTACAGTGTTGACTGTTAGCTTTTTGTAGATCATTTATTGTTGCTCTGTTTTGGCGAAACCTGATTATGTGGTCGGTGCATGTTTTCACGAGCAAGCTATGCAAAGGTTTGATAATTACTCCATTCTCAACAAGTTTAGTGGATATCTTTTCCATCATGTGTGCGCCAAACAATTCTTTACATTTTTTTTGTTTCTTCTCTGCGATTAGTATAGGATAATAATATAGGTTAAAACTCATTAATATTTTATATATATTGACTTTGTATTAATTTTTCAGTTTTATTCTTAATTTACTAAAATTTATTATTTTAGTCTATAACTCGTTGAAATATTTTAAGTTAGTATCTACAATTATTCCAAATTAATAAAATTAATTATTTGATATGCTGAGTTTTAACTTGACATATTAAATTTTATATTATACTGTTAAAAATTATCTTAACTCTCTACTGATGCCTATTATTTAATTTCTAAATCCAATTGATAGTTAACATATTATATTGACGTACAGTATTTTTTTATGGACATTTTTATTAAGTGTTATTAACACTTTTTGATAATAAATTAATGTGATAGATTTTTTTAAACAACTTAAAAGATTAAGATAATTTTATATTGAGTTAAGAACAAAATTAAAAAGATATTATAAAGTTAATAACTAAAGAGGTAATTTACTTTGCAAAGTTGTTTAGAGCGAAAAATATTTATACAGTGAACCAATTATGTGCTTTTCTTAGTTTATCTTGTAGATATACCGGTTTACTATATTTTTGTATTTAATCTTCTAGTAATGACGTCATCATTTATGCTTTCAAGTTAATTAACACTAAGATTTCCTCCAAATGATGTTTTGTGTGGTGTATTTATGAGAAATAAGTTTTTTAAGTATTACCTAACTTGAAATTTAAAAGCTGGAGGCATACCACGTTGATTGTTCACTGAATTATTCATTATTATAAAAATAGTATTTATTAACATATAAAAAATTATCAAATATTAAGATAATTTTTGTTTGATAAATTAAACTATTAATGAAGATTTTTACAGTTTATACCAACAAATAATGTAGAAATCTAACATTTTTGTGTATTGATGTTAAGATATGTTGATATTTTGTACTTTCAATGTTATTTTTAGTATAATATATGATCTTGATAATACAAACTTAAAATGTATAGAATTTCGAGCTTCTTATATTGATAAAAGAAAATGATATAAACATGTTTGAAAGGGAAAAAAGATAATTTTATCAAGGAATTAAAGAAAAATATTGATGGGTTATTATTGATCTATACTAATTAAAGCTGAAAAAAAATTATACTTCTTTTTCTTCTTAATTTGATCATATTATATTACTTCACAGCCTGAGAAGATCTCAATCTAAATATTTATGCTAACAATTTTTTTTTATCAAATTAAATATATACTAATAAAGGCTAATTTAATATTAAATTGTTAAGATATAATGATTTTTTATAATGCACTTCAGTTTGCTTGTGATTTATTTAGATTTTTTTAAAAATTTATTTTGATTTTAGCCATAATTGCTAATAAAACTTTCATTTGACCAAAATATTATATATATATATATATATATATATATGTATATATGAAAATGATCTTTTCATACTAGCGCAAGTCTAAAAACTTTTATACTTTAATCTGAGCCTTTCGTTTAACTTACATCTAATAGTCAGTGAAATAATAAATTATAACCCATTAGATATAAGGTAAATGAAAAGTTCAGATTGAATACAAAAGTTTTTAAACTTATAAAGAATTATAACTCATGTAGTATGCAAGTATTGTTCATCATTTTTCTCAAATGTATGATGATATGCAAACCAAACATAAACTAGGATTGTTCATTGTTTTGATGCCAAGTATTGTTATTGGAATAAACATATGCAAATCAAACATATGAAGAAAATGATGAACAATACTTGCATAGTATTCATGGCCAAAAAGACAAAAACTTTTAATTGAGTTAGAGTTTTTAATAGAAAATGACAAATTTGAAATATTTTTACAAGTTTGAAGACTATAAATTGGATCACAAAAAAGTTAGAAGACAAAATTGAAACTTACCTTAAAGTTAGAAAATGAAAACTACTAACTTTATCTAATTTTTATTTATTTATAAGACTTACTTATATTTTTAGTCCTCATAAATATTGGGTATTTTATGATAAGTCTTTATAAAATTTTTTGTTAAGATTTAGTCTCTGAAATGTTAAGAAATTAAGATTTAAACATTGCTGTTAACTCTCTTCTGTTAAGTGTTGAACTAGTTAACAGAAAGTCAGTTTAAAGAACTAGTTCAGTGCTTTCACATGTCATGCCATGTAATTTAAATTTTAATATTTTATTATTTAAATTTATTATTTACAAATAAGTCCTTGAAGACATTTTAAATGTTTGCAGAAAAATCCCTCCCTGTTTATTCCCTTTATGATTACCCTACACCCTCCCCCTCTTCACACCCCCGTCCCGCACCTCTTCCTCACACAATCATTCTCCTTTCCTTAATAATTCTTCAAAACACATAAAGTAATAGAAATCAATTTGATTGTGGGTAATTTTGGGAAAGTTTTGCATGATAAAGACCATGTAGGTCATGGTTTTTGTGGGCTGACTGGAGGAGGTTTTGATGTGTGGGTTTGAGGTGCAATGCAAAGGTACAATGCAAAAGAGGAAGGGGTGACAGAGGCTGGGGCATGAAGGAGACATCATGTGTTTGTAGCAATGGAGCCTTCAATGGTGGCGAGGTTACAACTTTATTTACATATTGATTCTTTGGGAATGTTAAGCTGGTCTGATTTGATATGTTTCTGTGATGCATTCATTTAATAGTACATTACTTATTTTATTTTACAATTCTTGTACCTATCTTTTTCTTTGTTGTAAAATTTATTGTAAGATTATGAAGTGCAAATCGCATTACTTATTTGTTCTTTCTTTGTTTCACTTTGGTTGTTGTTATGCGCTCATGCATATCGATAAACCTATTATTGATTGAGGAAAAAGGACATTTATTTTACAGTTGTAGATAGTCTGTTATTCTTTAGATCTCAAAATAAATGTAGCATGTTATACCCTACAACCAACGTAGTCTAAGAAATTAAATCCTTCTAAGGCATTTTCTCGAACATCTTACATATACTATTATAATTTTGTGCTTGGAAGGAGATGAACCAAATTAAACTATGAATTTTCAGATGTTCCAAATACTGTACCATACCACAATCCTTATAAAAAATTTTCAATTTGCACGGTGGAGTGTGGGAAAGGGGAGGGCAAAAGGAAGGGGTGGAGGAGAGGGATGGAGAGGGAGCAGGGGTGAGGGTAATGATGAGAGTGAGGTGGGGCTATTGTGGAGAGGGAGGGGGTTGAGAGGACATTGGGGAGAATAAGACTTTTTTTTTTTTTGTAAATATGTAAAATATGTTTAAGGACTTTTGTAAATATTTATTTTAAATAATAAAATATTATTAAATAAATGACATGGCATGTCACATGACAGTGTTGAGCTAACTTTTCGTTTGCTAGACCAACACTTAATAGAGAGGAGTTAACGGTGGAAACTAAATCATAACTTCTTAACATTTTAAAGACTATATTCTAATAAAAAAATTATAAATACTTATAATAAAATGTGTTAATTTTACCGGGACCAACAATATAATTAAGCCAAAATATCAATTACTATGCTAGTATAAAATATGACTTAACTACTCAAAATTGCTAATGACAATTTTTGAATCTTCAACTATGTACACTTACTTCCTTCTCCTTATAACCCATTGAGTTATATATTCTTTATACATAAACATGAGAAATGATTGAATAACATTCATATTATAAAAAATTATATACTAAATTTCTACCAAATTGTATTAAATAATAATATTTTTTTCTTTTTTCTTGATTTTTAAGGAGCTATATCTACAGGGGTATGAGTAAATGAACATAATATGCATGAAAGAAGTCATATATATCTACTTCTTTTACCATCGTCATACCTTACATCCTAAGTTTCTTCAACCTTATCTCCTACAATATCAAGCTCCACTACATGAGCAGATATAGATGTGACTTCCATATTTTGCTTTGTCATCTTCCATAACATCATTGACATTGACAAATAATCACGTAACGAGAATATTGACTAAGAG